GGCGGGTAGAATTATTATCAGAGGAACCACGGAAGCTAGAAGACTGAAATTTTGTGGTATGGCCCCCGCCCATGCGCTAGCAAGAAAATTTAAATTCAGCTTTCCCCTACCTGTGGATAACATGTACGACTCCGTGAAAATTTTGACGGAAAAACTATTATCTCGTGAACTGCAAAAGCTAGAAAGGTGAATTAGCGTGGCCCCTGCCCTCGTGCAACTCGGCGAATTTTCAAAGTCGCCGTGGAAGTTCTGGCGAGAAAAATCATTATCTCAGGGATCTGAAGTGCCAGGACACTGAAAATTTCAGGGGAATGTTTCCTGTCTATGCAGGGCATCACAAACTCGAATTCAGTTCCTAAGTATGCCGAGGTCTCGCGTGCGGCCACATGAAACTTTTGTCTCAAAGATCATTTGAAAGCCAGAAAATTAGGAGGTTGAAGTTTTGGAAAAATATTCACCCTTTGAGGTTTCAAATTCAGCTTTCGCGTGCCTGTCCGTGAAATTTTTAACTATTTTTCAGCTCAACTATTTTTGCACAAACCAAAATGCAAAGCAGTAAAAATTATTAGCAGGCAATCGTTGTACAAAACGCATGATCGCACCGGCTGTTTTGGTGCGCTCTGCTATTTATTACATTCAGTTGCGCTTCGTTTCCACAGAATACGCGTACTAAGTGTTGTCAGAGAGTGGTACTGCCTCTCGAGCGTGCGATGTTCATAATGCTGTGGGCGCTGCTAGTGATTTTGGCGTTCGTTTCTCTGCTTCCTTCGTTCGTAATCCGCGGGGCGGGGGTGGGGGTGCTCCGCTTGCGCTGGTGGTCGACTGTACTGGTCAGCTAGCTTAGCTACTTGGAGATTAGTTTGGTTGCAGTATGCGGATGCATTCAAAAATGCAGAAGCTGCGATGAGAGTACTGCTGGAAGTCTGCGGCAGCGCCAACTTCGAGACTAAAAAGGATTGGAACAAAGTGTACGAGAAGAATGCCGAACCGGTCTACGTAAAAAAATTTGACATTGGGAGAGTGTTCGCACTAAAGGTTCATATTCGTGCCTCTCATTTGCAAGCACAGTACACTGCTCGAAGAAATCTCTGCAACTACTATGATGCGATAGCATGGGTGCATGTAGGCATTAGCCTTGATTTGCTTGTTCAGCTCGAGATGAGCTTTGTAAATTCGCTACTGTCCACATCTGAAGCTGCAGAGCTTCAGAACTAGCAAGTTTTTCACCACAACGCTGCATAAAATTCGACTAAA